GACGCGACGCATCGTGACGCGACGCATCGTGACGCGACGCATCGTGACGCGACGCATCGTGACGCAACGCATCGTGACGCAACGCATCGTCAAGCATAGGTGGTACTTGATTCAAGCTCGTGGCATCACAGTAACAAAATATGCCTGCCGCCAAAGATAATTGCTTTGTGCGATGGCGTTTCAAGAGCACGTATGGCATGCTGTTGACATGTTAAAGGCAATATGTCTCGTTGTGGATTGGTTAACGAGAACAATAGCTGGAACAATAGCCTAAACACAATTCCAGCGCTCTGCCATATTTTTTACAATGCGATAAATTAAAGGGGGACTGGAAACAATATCGTGACAGATTGCCTTTAACATAACGTATACATACTGTGCTGTTTTTTAGAAATTAATTTTTTGTTTTGTTGTTACTTTCTGTAGCTCAAAAAATATTTTGAAGAGTGGTGACTGGTGAGTTTGTACTGAGCGTGACGTAACGGAAGAGGGTCTTGTGAACAAACATGACGAAGCGTGGTGATGTGAGCAATAATAATAATCAATTTATTTAAAGTTGGCGCTTTAAAAAGATTGTTTATTGCTATTGCCCCCATCACAATTTTAGCGTGACGTTTTTATTGAACAGCCCCTTATACGTTTATACGTGCAAGCACTTGATTTGCCTTTGTCCTGATAGTATCACAGCGATGGACACCAAGCACAGGCGGTTTTAGGGTCTGCGGGACCGGGGACGAAAACGTCTGTGGGACCCTTGTTCTTTACAATTTTATCTTTTTCATTGGGTTGGTGCGGGTTTTCGGCCTTGACCCTCCCCTAAAACCGCCACTGCTTTTTTATATCTAACCCTATTATATAAATTTACCTTCATTATTTACTTCGGTATTTTTACATTACCAGAAGACTTTTCATTACCAGAACATTACCAGATCACTTTCCCTTGAGATCATACTCTGATGCCGTTATCGTCGATAAAGCCACGTGAGTTTGGGTTTCCAACTACGTCACCAACTCTTGTAACACTTTGGATTCGGAAGCCAGACAGGCATCCCTTTCCCATACATTTAAAGCTGCCATGAGATGATTTTTTATTAATGCCTTATAATTTTTTAACATTGCAGCTAGATATTGTTGTATTTACCCTGTATTTAAATAGACCATTTTGAACCTTGATATTTTGGCCATTAATGAAACCAAAATCAATCACAAAGTTGACGACAGGCTTATCTCATTAGATGATTTTTCTCTTTGTAGATATGATAGGAGTAGGCGAGGTGGTGGTGTTGCTCTCTATATCAGAAATACAGTCAGGTTTAAACCCCGGGTAGATCTTCCTAATAAATCGCTTGAGTTGATTTGCATAGAGGTAGAGCCCCCGAATTCAAATCCGTTCATTGTCATAGCTTGGTATAGACCACCCAGTGAGCCTAATTCTTGCTTTGACAGCCTTCATGAAAACCTGAGCTTTCTTGATGGAGAGGGGAAAGAAATTATTATTCTAGGAGATACTAACTGTGATTTCTGTTATAGAGACAATACTCCGAGCCATATTATGCAGTTACGTGAGCTGTACGACCTTTTTGATATGAAGCAGATTATTAAAGAGCCCACTAGGGTCACGCTAGACAGTTCAACTTTGACTGATCATATAGATTAGTCTTAGTGACCATTATCTTGTATATTGTGTTAGAAAGCTGCGTGGCGGTGCTAAACACCAGCACAAATATATAACATCTCGTCAGTTGAAGAATTTTAATCAAGAGGCTTTCCTCTCAGATTTCTCTGAGGTTAATTGGGAGGCACTCGTAGCTGATGCTCAAGACATTGATGATGCAGTACGCGAGTGGACCCAAATATTTTCGCTTATTCTAGAAAAGCATGCGCCTACATTAAGAAGACGCGTGTCTGATAGATATACGCCTTGGCTGAATGCTGATTATTTCAAATTGGCTAAAACCAGAGATAAGTTAAAAACTCGAGCTGTAAAAACCAACTCAAAATTGTTGATGGAATCCTACAGGCAAATTCGTAACAGGTTAAATAACATGAAAACACAACTCAAACGCGAGTATTTCTCTGAAAAAATCACGCAGTTTCAAGGTGACCCCAAGAAAACTTGGAAAACCATCAACCAAGTCATTAACAAAAAGTCGAACACTACAGTTGTGCGTAACCTTACTGTAGACGGGCAAACAATTAGGGGTAACAAAGCAATTGCATCTTCAATGAATGAGTACTTCTGCAGCATTGGGAATAAATTTAGTGAGAAAATTCCAAAGAAAGCCAATCCACTCTTGTCTGGTGAATACCCGTTTGAAACTCCTCCATTGAGTTTCTCTTTTTCGGCCATCATGGCAGATAAATTATCATCAACCTTGAATAAAATGAAGACATCGCATGGTTCAGGTCACGATGGCATTGCGAGCTTTCATTTGAAGATTGCTTTGCCAGTTGTTGGTGGTTCCTTGTGTGATCTCTTCAATAAATCATTGTTTGCAGGAAAATTTCCGGAGGACTGGAAAATAGCGCGTATTGCACCCATCTTCAATAGTGGCGCAAAGGATGACAGGTCGAACTATAGACCAATATCAGTTCTTCCTTTCATATCTAGGCTATTTGAGAAATTAATTTTCAATCAGTTTTATGGATACCTGGATGCGAATAAATCACTATATGAGCATCAGTCGGGTTTTCGACTCTTACACTCGGTAGCCACAGCCCTTCTGGCTAGCACCAATTATTGGTACCTGAATATAGATAAAGGAAAATACACTGGTCTAGTCTTTATTGACTTGAAGAAGGCTTTCGACACGGTCGATCATAAAATCCTACTGGAAAAAATGAATATGTACGGAGTGACCGGCCTGGAACATGACTGGTTCACATCATATTTGGAAAATCGTAAACAATTCTGCAGGGTGGATGGCACCTCCTCTGATGTGAGGGGAATAAATTGTGGAGTTCCCCAAGGCTCTTGTCTTGGTCCACTCTTGTTCCTGATTTACATCAATGATTTGCTTTTTTCCTTGCAAAAATCTCATTTTATGTATGCTGTTGACACGGCCATTTCCCTCTCTTCAAAAAGTATTGGTGACCTTCAAAATGACCTAAACGTAGATCTTTTGAAACTACAGGATTGGCTGCATGCAAATAAACTTTCCCTGAACGTAGTGAAAACGCAGTCAATTGTTATAGGCTCTGGTCCAAACATCCGTAAGATCGAAAGCCAGCCTGATGCTCCACCATCTTTTTCTTTTTCAATAGGTGATCAGAACATTGAAATGATCACCAACACAAGATACTTAGGTGTTCAGATAGACAGTAAGCTCAACTGGGACAAGCATATCGATACTATCAAGACCAAGCCTAATCGAGCCCTTGGACTTATTAAGTATTCTAAGAAATATCTTCCATCTGACATCCTCAACAAAATGTCTAGAGGAATTGTTGAGCCCCATTTGAGCTACTGTTGTTCCGTTTGGGGCTGCTGTAATGAATCAAAGCTTGACGTGTTGCAAAAAATCCAAAATAGAGCTGCCAGAATTGTAACTGGCAGCCCATACGATGGGTCTGCTGCTCCGATAATTCAGAATCTTGGCTGGTTAACCATCAGAAATCTTGTAAGAAAGGAGACAGCCACGCTAACTTACAAATCTCTAAATATGCTTGCACCAAACTACTTGAGAAAATTATTCGAAAAATGTTCGGATGATAGAGAACGGTTTCTGCGTTCATCAGAAACTGATCTTAAGATACCGCTGCTAAAAACGATAAATGGCTAAAAGGCTTTTTCTTATCGCGGTCCAAAACTGTGGAACAGTCTAGAAAGGGCTACCAAATTGGCCCC